CAGACACAACTTTACAACTAAACAACAAACAACAACAGTCTCAGACCCTACCAGATGAGGCTTTTAACCCAGGTGAACTACATTTAGACGTCTGTCTGTCAGGGAGAACTCCCAGAACAGAAAATTATGGGATCTGTGGTAAAAGATGTCCAAAAATCCCATCCTTACTAACCACTATCCCATATAGGTTTAGAGTTTCTGCAACAGTTCTTTTAAATGTTTGCCCCTCCTATCTACTGAAGTTTTGCAGCTAGTGGTTGAAGTATTGTTGTGTGGTCACACAAACAGTGTAAGTTTCAGAACTGAATTGCTGTAAACTGAAAAATTTCTTAGCCATATTGAGTTGTGTAACCCAGCATGCAACAGAGAAGGTCTATAGACATTTCTTAGCTTATGTCAATCCACTTCTAAAATCATGCTGTTTGCATTACTGTAGAACAGGATTTCAGTCAATATCTCTCCTTTTTTGTGAGAGAGGTTGCCTCAACATGATTAGACAATGTGGCAAGGAATTTATTATTCAAAAATACCAGAGACAGTCAATCATAAAAATTATAAAAGCATTGAGTATTATTACATAGTGAATACAAGTTCTAACCAAAAAATAAGTATCTGTTAAATATTGGTGCAGTATGTATTCTGTTCCTAATATTGTCATTTTTTGTAGTTCTTATTGTGTTATTTCTGAGATCTGCAACTGCTTATAATACTGTGTAAATTTTCTTAATATTGATCACTGAAGTATATTTCATCACCATTGTCATCATCATCATAATTCATGATTTTATGTAATTGTGGCAAATATGTCAAGCACCATTCGCCTTTTTCAAGAGAGTTCATATCACGCTATTGGGCAGAATACAAGTTAAAGAAATAACCACATACAAAAAGCAAACACAAGAGGGCAAACTTGTTTTGTGGTGAAGACACAAACCCATGAAGTGTTTCTGTTTTTTTTTTTTTAATTAACCCATGCAACAAGGCAGCAGCTTAATTTTTGCACCTTTCCAGAAATGCATAAGCCTTCTTATGCATTCTTGTGGATGCATAAATTCTCTCCAAGACCAACAGTAATAATTCTTCAGTGTCTTGTAGAAAGAAGAAAAAGATTGGGTCCTCTCATTAACCAAACTGGTTCATAGTTTACTTCTCTGCTTGTTACCTGGTTTTCCCAATTAAGTAGTTGCCACCAAAGCAAATAAAGTCACTTGCCAATTTGAGTTACAGGAGAAAGCTGATGTATTCAAAGGGGGTCATCCCCAACACACTGAAAGCAAGGGATGGACTTAATTTATAAGGCACTCCTAGGCATAAATATTTTCAGAGAAAAACATTCAAGAGATATTGCTCGCTGGTTATTGTGAATAGGATATCAGCCTCAAATCCCCCCAACCCCATCTGCTTTATCATACCTGTAGTCTGGTCCCTAAAGTCCCTTTCCCCTAGCTTGTTTTTGAAAGAAGTTCTAAACATTTCTTCCTTGTGTCACTGCACTCCATTATGAATTTAAATCCTAATTTCCTGGCAGTTCAGGTTATAAGTACTGTAAATCCTAAATATGTATACAAAGATTTGAGTTTGGCTGCACTCTGGTGGTGATACAATAAGGGTGCAACACTTCCTTTCTTCACAGGAAACAAATCCGCATAGGTTTTGCCATTTCAAATAACAATCAAACCAGTCATTAAAGTGACTGCATTTTTTTTATTTAAAAAACTAATAATTTATCTTTATTCAATTCATAGAACTTGATTCCAGACTCTAATTCGTTTTTGTTTGCAAACACATTGTACATGGCTACTTTTACTAGCAATTCCCCATTTTATAGATGTTTCATCGCTGTTCCTTTAACAGCTAAAATATATGAAGAAGTACAAAATGTGCCCATGTTTCTGCAGAAAGATAAAGATAAGTGTTTGAAGAAATGATGTTATTTTCTCAAGGTTTGCTTTCACTTGATCTACTCTTCCCAGAAGCACACTTTTTTCTTCCAGGTCTCCTCTGTTCATTTGGAGGGATGCTCTACATAATTTGATAGAGATCAACTGTTGTTGTTTTTTTTTGCCCTGTGAATGAAGACAAAATAGAAACCAAAGTTACTATCTATAGATATCTTAACAATGCAAATCCTTCCAAATTTATGGTAAGCTTAGAATTTATTTGTTAAGCATAGGCTTTACTAATTTGTTTGCCATTTGTAAGCTTAGAATGTTGTGATTTGTTTGCTGTAATTAATTATAATTTTAGTAACAATTTAAATTTTATATTTTAAAAGATTTTAATGTCAACAGCATTAATATTTTGGGTAACGATAAATGTTCTATAATTGTAATTTGTTTTCTTCAGGGAGTAAGTTTGTGAGTTGACTTTTTAATCATTCTTAATCATTTTAATTGATTTTTTGTCATTTAATAGTAGAAGTAACACATTGTTGAAGTGCAGATATTCATATAACAGCAGCAGCAGCAGCAGCAGCAGCAGCAGCAGCAACAACAACAACAACAACAACAATAACAACAACAACAACAACAACAACAACAACAACAACAACAACAACAATAATAATAATACATTATTGTCCATTAGCTTGGATACTACTGTTTCCAAACTTTGATCTTGAGTTTTGAGCATGATTTGCTCTCAAGCCACCCTGATTGTTTTCTCATTCTGAACGGTCATTCATGATTATAGTAGAGGAATGCTGAAGGGAAAAACAGACAGGCAGGGCATGTTCAGCAGGCATATACTTAACCATTGTATTATCACCACCTCTTTTTTTCTACATAAACAAGAGTTAAGAGATTTCAGATTCCAAAGAAGAAATCTGATCCAACACTTCATTACTCATTTTTCTTGATCTACCTAAACTGTATACATAGATTAAAACATACTTTGATTAGTGAGAGGCGTATCCCAATCTTTATTCCCATTAACAAGTCAATTATAATTAATTCCCAGTGTTGTACATATATTTACCCAGAATATTAGCCAATTGATTTCTTTTGTGAGAATTCTGCCTGGACATGCATAGGATTGTGTGTACAGGCTGTCCGTTAGTAACCAGACCCAACTGAAGTGAGTAGTGTTAGCATGTAAGTCATAAATGGTTCTGGACCGAGACACTTGAAGGAGCACCCATGCAAATGGTTCTAGTAAGTCTGCTTCTTTGTTGTTTTCTTAAATGAAGAACATTGGGGGTAGCATTTATTTTCATGGTCATTCTTTGATTCTGATATACTGAACTATCAATGTTTTTACAGTTGCCGGAATGTAGTTTAGCATAAATTGTAGTACAGTTGACACATACAGTGTACATTGGGGGAAACAGCAATTTCTGCCCTTAATTATAGATCGCTTTGGAACACCTTCTGTATCAGGGTCTGGGCAATATTGAAATGTTGTTGTACGGCAGCTGTTACCATTCTTTACAACTGCCTGTTCTGATTAGTGCTGATGGAAGTTGCAGTGAAGCAAGAGATGGGTTTCACAACTTGCCAACAACTTTCCCATATCCTTGCAGGCAATAAGACTTGACTCTGCATGAGAGGTCCTTCAGGACCGTCTTGTTGCTTTGGTTTTGTTGGAACCAAACCTTTCAATGTTAGCTCCTATTTTGTAGAACTCCTTATCTATGTACCCTATGGAAATGAAGAAATGTTGCTGTTGGCTGAATTCTAGACAAAACTGGTCACCTTGACATGGTGAAACAGCAATATCCATATATTATAATGTCTGGAATCTGGCTGAATAATTGTATCCATTTATGTCCATCAGTTTAATATTCAGATGCAAATAGCTGCTGGCTAAGAAGGTAGTGTTTGCATTTCTTGTCATTTCCCATGTAACATAGTGCACAACAGAAATACAATTGCCAATTTCTTCACAATTTGCTGCTGAGATTCATGCCCATGGATTTTCTCTGCCAGTAAGTAATAGGCTTCTAGCCACTGTGTGCAGAATTCCTGTTTCGGTACAAAAATACTTCTTCTTCCCTTTGTGTATAACTATGTGCAGGGTTTTCTAGGTAGTCAGAAATGCTTTACTATGCCCTTCTACTGAAGGCATTCTGGGACTGTACAGTTTGCCCAAGACCTCACAAGCTGGCTCTTCTGGGAAGCACAGTACAGAACTGAACTCACAACCTCTGGCTCCATGGCCAGATGCCTAACTCACTGAGCTATCCAGACAGTTTGCACATATAAGCAAGGGAAAAATAACAAGCTGATCAATCACAAAGAGATAAATTTCCCATCAAATGTTACTTCAGTAAAGAGAGAGTTGTCATGTTTTCCCATTTAATGCATTTTACAAAAAGTACAAGAAAAGTCTCGAAAGTGTGCAAAATGTCTCACTTACAGTGTCAAAAGACATCATTTTGTCATCTTGGAGAGAGGATAAAATTTCTGTGTTGGGCTTTTTCTAAGCAAGGATGAACCAAGTTGGAATTTACAGCCTGATGTAAGCCGAACTGCATGACTCTTAGGAAATGGATGAAGGCTTTTGACCTAAATAGAGACTATATGTTTTATTAGCTTTTCTTTGGTTTAACTGAACTGCACATTTTTACCCACATGTACTATGTGACAAAGTTTGCTTTTACTATACATAATATTATGTTGTCCTCGATAGATAAACAGAGAAGCTGACTATAGATAAAATTACAATAATGTGGACTGTGATGTAGACAGCACACACAGTAGAATGAGTGGGTGGAATCCTCATGTTAGCATGGCAAGTACCATTTCAGTCTATGGGGGTGTGCATGTGTCTCTTTTAAAAAATTATCCCCCACCATAAAAACTCCCTCCAGAAAATTAAAAGAACATCAGTACTATCAGTTCAGGATTAGTGCTCTCTTTGTAGTACCAATTTCTATTTACTAAGAAATTCTTGTGATGGAACATTAAAAAAATAATTCCCATCTCCAGCTTCGTGGTACAGGCCTATCTACTATCATAGAATTTGCCCATTTTTTCCATGTGTATCACAGTCCCTCAGAGGTGTTGACTGCCATTTCTTCTCAGACCCTACAGAAAACAGACTGGCTTTGTTGTATCATTTCTTCCTCTTCATTTTTGGCCCTCCTTTTGCAAATGTGGGATTGAGCTGCTCTGTTTCCTTGTTTACATATTTAGATTGAGAAAAAGGAAGTGGTGAAGCTGACTAACTAGCTAGCAGGGTTTCTGAGAAGAGGAGAGACCGTTTAGCTCACACCGGAAGTTGTTGCTGTCTTCAGTTGATTCGTTGCACAGTTCTAAGGAAAGCTAAATTAAGTAGACTTGCTATATTTTACCTGCCTGAGTTTCTGCTGAGTGGAAATTCTGTCCCAGCATCAGTGTCTAGCTTGGCATGAACAGATTTGTAACTAGCTAGGGAAGAGCCATGATGGATTCACGAAACACTCCATACCGCTCAGAGGTGGTCCGCTGGTCCCCAGATGACTTGGCAGACTACTTCAGGAGGGTAAGTGTCATTTTACTTCAAGTGTCTCATTTGTATATTTCTTTATATGACAAGTTGTGTTGTTTGACAGCACAACTTTAGAAGAATCTTTAGAAAGTCAATTCTGACAGGCATGAATGAGGTTTCTTTGGAATGTGATACAAAAAGAATTGCCTGCTGCCTCAAGCAAACAATACTGTATATCCTTCCTATTCATTAGCCTGAATCCTAATTCCCGCTCTGTGAATGAAAACTGAATTTTGGTCAAAGAATAGGCCAAGGGCTGGCTCCTGGATGAAAAAGACTTCTCCAATTTTCCCTCCATGGTGACCTCCGCTTGGTGTCCGCCTCACCTTTGCTTGCTGCCCTTCTCAACTCAGCACCCTGGGTTACCTCCCAGCTTTCCAGTCCCTCAGGTCTGCCCTAAATGGGTCTTTCTCAACTCTATTTTTCTAATTGCTCCCCCAAGCCCCGAAATAAGGACGCTCCTAAATGGGTCTTTCTCCCTTTTTCAAGGGTAGATATGTAGATCCTCTTGGTAAGGAAATGCAATACTTCAGTGTCCTGTACAGGACCTAGGACAGGTGCATTTATTTATAAAAATATCGACATACTGCTCTATATCAGATCTTGGAACTGACTACAGATCCTGCAACAATATTACACAAAATAAAATAAATTAAAATAGTATAAAACAGATTAAAACTAATTAAAACTGTTTGAACAGCTTGTACAACATGTTCTACCTCAGAATATGGCTCGTCAAGCCATTACTCCTTGGGCACAAAAGCTTTGGTGAAAAGTAAGAACTCTAGTGGACTATCAGGCACTCGCTGTCACAGAATACAGAAAAGAAATTTCTCCATGAAAGGAGGAGTTGTTTGC